TGGGGGTGGGGGTTGGGGTAACTTTGAAATCTTAAATGGAAACCCCCATTTTTTATCGCAGATACAGATTCTACGCCATAAAATACGTAAATTTTGTCCCAAACTTTTTTTCTGATTCGTGATAGATGGCGCTGTAATCGCAAAAAATTATATTTTCCGCAATTCTCCAGAAATGATCATTGGATTGAGAAATAAAAAATACCTGTTCAATATTTTTAAAGAACATAATAAAAGTTATTCCCCCCCCATCCTCTCGGGGTAGGGTGGGTGATAACGTTCAAATCTCAAATGGGGACTCACATTTTTCATTGCAGAATTAGATTGTACGTGAAATTTTTATTGAAACAATTTTTTTCATTCGTGACAGATAGCGTTGAATTTTTCCGAGAAACTACTTTTAGCGTTACACAGGAACAACGACGAGGACGTAGTAGTTTTATGTTCCCTTCGGGTGCTTCTTTAATGTGAGTCCCCTTGCCTCTCACAGATCGGGGTGCTTTTTTAATGTGAGTCCCCTTGCCTCTCACTGTTCAATTAATTAGAGTAAGTGTTCGAAATTTTTACCTTCAACTTCAATACACTTATTGATCCTTTTTTCAAATGACTGTACACAGGATAGAAGCATATCTGTGGGAATTTCAGCGCAAACGTTTCTTATGCGTCCTACCATGTTTTCACAAGTTGTTGGCACTTGTTGATAAACCTTATCTTTTAGGTAACCCCACAGAAAGAAATCCGGCGATGTCAAATCAGGCGACCTAGCAGGCCAATTAATCGAGCCACCTCTGCCAATCCACCGTAACCATTGTAATCACGGTCTAATACTTTCCGTGCTGCTATTGAGTTATGCGCTGGGCAACCGTCATGTAGATTTGAACATTACCACCCACCCTACCCCGAGAGGATGGGGGGGAATAACTTTTATTATGTTCTTTAAAAATATTGAACAGGTATTTTTTATTTCTCAATCCAATGATCATTTCTGGAGAATTGCGGAAAATATAATTTTTTGCGATCGCAGCGCCATCTATCACGAATCAAAAAAAAAGTTTCGAACAAAATTTACGTATTTTGTGGCGTAGAATCCGTATCTGCAATAAAAATGGGGGTTTCCATTTAAGATTTCAAAGTTGCCCCCAATCCCCACCCCCAGGGGGTGGGGTAAGAGGTCGAGTTTGGTATCATTGGATGTCCCCCTTCGAGACTAACAACTTTCATTAACCACTTTTTTTATCCAATGCATAATTCTCGAGATATTTTAATGTCTTCAGATAAATCGTGCACCCTGTATATAAGCGAGCTTTTTCTTTATAGCTTTTTCCTTATAGCTCGCTCGCTCCTCGTCGTTCGCGCTCGCTCGCTCTTCATCGCGCTCGCTCGCCTCTTGTCGCTTGCGCTCACTCGCTCCTCGTCGTTCGCGCTCGCTCGCTCCTCGTCGCGCGCGCTCGCCTCTTGTTGTTTACGTTGCTCCTCGCCGCGCGCGCTCGCCTACCGTTACTCGCAAACACCCTGTATATATATATATGTGTGTGTGTATGTGCGTGTGTGTGTTTTGGGGGGAATGGGGAAAGGAAGGAAGACGAACGTAAAGGATCAGTCGGGTGAAAGGGAACGAGAGTGGTCAGGTGAATTTTGAGGAGTGAGTTGTTCGGAGAAAGAAACGGGGGAATAGGATATCGAAAGGATTGAAGGCGTAGACGCGCGTGTAGGAGAAGAAGGCGGAGTACCAAGGGGAAAATGAGGGAGAAGGTAAGGGGGTAGGAGCGTAAGGCCTGGGTAGTAGTCGGTTCTTAGCGCCACGTTAATTATCGCGCGGATATAGTGGTCCTGAGATGCTAGTTGGTCGGGATCTCTGGAGTCAAAAACCGACTCGAGTGTTTGGAAAATGCTCTTGATAGTTATTCCAACGTTGTGATAATGACCCACTAAAACCGAGTTTCCATAATAACGGGAATTAATAAAATGGTTATAGGAAGGGTAGATAATAAAGAAAGTAAAACTTACTGCTGGTCCCAAGCAGAGAGAGAGAGAGAGTGAGAGCAACCAAAGGAAAATGTTGCTGATCTGTGTAGGTGTACAACGTTGGCTCTGAGCTTTCGGATTTCCAATTCGGCACCGGTTATGTTACACACAACTATGTGTTTTTTTTCTTAGGCAGTAGACAATAATTAAAACTGAGTGTAAACTTTCAAAATCAAACGACAAAAAAGAGAAGTATCAGAATGCCGAACTTATCGTTCTAATTCGTGTGCTGGTCAAGCGAATAATGTGCTAGCCTTTTCGTTTTTTTTAAAACGTCACCTCGGTTGAGAGGATGGGGTTGTGGAAATTGTGAACTTTGTTGTTAACATTTTCGGAGGTGGGAGTTTAAAATTGAGTCAGGGTCTAAGGGTCTATGTCCATCTATTAGATCTTTGTTGTTAACATTTTCGGAGGTGGAAGTTTAGAATGAGTCAGGGTCTAAGTGTCTATGTCCATCTATTAGATCTTTGTTGTTAACATTTTCGGAGGTGGGAGTTTAGAATTGAGTCAGGGTCTAAAGTTTATTAGAACTTTTCCAGAGGCGGGATTTTGGAGTTGCGTTACATTGTTATAAAGAATGGAGTATCTAGAGCGATAAAAGATTTCGTCATCCCGTTAAGTTTAGTGAGAATTATTGGGTAATATGACAGGACGTGGAAAAGTTGTGAGTTCGTGAGGATGTGACTCAATGGATTTTCCTGACAAACAACTAGAGGACTTTGGTCCAGGGGGAGATAAAGAAAAAAGAGAAATCGGTGTGTGATGATCGGTGATGTCATCGTGTTCGAAGGGTCGCGAAACATGTTTCTTGAATCTATCGTTTAAAGTGTCAATTCGCTCTATTTATAAAAGATCTAGAATACGCGGAGACCGCAAGATGTAACAATTAGGAAAAAATCCAAATTTTTCAGTTCTTTTACAATAAAAAAATTAATATCCCGAAATGAAATATTTTGACGTAATTGTCCATGGTTCATCTGAGAGTCAGAAGAACATATATTATTGCTTTAAAATTTCAAATCGATACGAAGCTCAGTTTCGGAGAAATCATTGCAAAAAGTTAAACAATAAAATTTCGAGAAAAACGCGTTCAAAATTTAAGTGGACGTATACTTATATGAATAATTGTTAATAAAAAAAATTGTTCTACTCTTCATATGTTATATAAATATATCTCAAATTTTCATTCTTGCACATTATTTATTCAGTTCATCACAAAATATTATCAAAAACAAGCACGATTTTTCAGAGTAATCTGACTCTCCAGTTCCCTTAATTAGCAGAAACCGGAAAGTTCAGTCTTAGGCTTCAAGAATATGCGTGATATCATCGCGTTGGTCGACCTGTCATCTGCTACAGCTGATGTTTATCAAATGCAGATATGTGTATATGTGTGGATGAAGAAGTAAGCGTTCCCAAGTTTAGGAGAGAAATAATTCCGGAGGTGCTTTCTGGATTTCATGTAATTATGAAACTGTACACGCAAGAGTATTTTGGACTTTCGTAGCGGCCACAAGTGTCTTACAGCTCATCAGTTTTTTATGGAGATACCTACAGGATGCACGATTTATCTGAAGGCATTGAAATATCTCGAGAACTATGCATTGGATAAAAAAAAGTGGTTAATGAAAGTTGTTAGTCTCGAAGAGGGACATCCAATGATACCAAACTCGACCTCCCACCTCATCCCCTGGGGGTGGGGGTTGGGGTAACTTTGAAATCTTAAATGGAAACCCCCATTTTTTATTGCAGATACGGATTCTACGCCACAAAATACGTAAATTTTGTCCGAAACTTTTTTTTTTATTCGTGATAGATGGCGCTGTAATCGCAAAAAATTATATTTTCCGCAATTCTCCAGAAATGATCATTGGATTGAGAAATTAAAAATACCTGTTCAATATTTTTAAAGAACATAATAAACGTTATCCCTCCCCCATCCTCTCGGGGTAGGGTGGGTGATAACGTTCAAATCTCAAATGGGAACCCGAATCGAAGAGGGAACCGCTCGACGCGCCACTGTAGGTGTATAGCGAACTACGGCTTATTATAAAAGGCAGTGCAATGCGGTCAGAGCTCACTTTTCTTTCAGAATTAGAACTGAAAGCATCTCTAACAATTTCATTTTACTTGACTAGTTTTTATTACCTGCATATCTACCCTTCATTCTTTGAACAGAATTGCAAGTGGAAAATGAATTCTGCAACCGTAGAAGAAAAAATTGAAATGATTCTGATTTATGATGAATATAGGAGGAATGTTGACGATGCTGTTGTCTTGTATGCTGAACGTTTTCCAGACAATGTTCGCTCACGTTCTTTTTTTTTACAAAGTTGTGACTTCCTTTATCTCGTATGGCAGCGTACAAACTAAAAAAAGAAAACGAAGAACAACTGTTACAGGAGAAGTTAATGAAATAGCTGTGCTAGCAGCTGTTCACCACAACCCACAGGTAAGTACTCGGCAATTACATCGCGATTTCGGAATTTCCGGAGATAGTATTCGCAGAATATTGCATCGTCATAAGTATCACATTTCACTGCATCAAGAACTTCATGGCGATGATTTTCATAATCGTGTGGTGTTTTGTGAATGGGCACTTCAACAAATGCAAACGAACCCCAATTTCATTGCTAATGTACTATTTTCAGATGAATCTACATTCACAAACCATGGTGGCGTTAATCGACATAACATGCATTACTGGAGTGTAGAAAATCCCCACTGGTTACGACAAGTTGAACATCAACGTCCTTGGTCGGTTAACGTTTGGTGTGGAATCATAGGGAACAGACTCATTGGTCCTTATTTTATTGAAGGTAATTTGAATGGAATCAAATATCGAAATTTCCTGGAACAGGAACTACCACCACTACTTGATGATGCCTTGAACGTTCGACAAAGTATGTGGTTTCAGCATGACGGTTGCCCAGCGCATAACTCAATAGCAGCACGGGAAGTATTAGACCGTGATTACAATGGTCGGTGGATTGGCAGAGGTAGCCCGATTAAAATTGGCCTGCTAGGTCGCCTGATTTGACATCGCCGGATTTCATTCTGTGGGGTTACCTAAAAGATAAGGTTTGTCAACAAGTGCCAACAACTCGTGAAAACATGGTAGAACGCATAAGAAACGTTTGCGCTGAAACTCCCGCAGATATGCTTCTATCCTGTGTACAGTCATTTGAAAAAAGGATCAATAAGTGTATTGAAGTTGAAGGTAAAAATTTCGAACACTTACTCTAATTAATTGAACAGTGAGAGGCAAGGGGACTCACATTAAAAAAGCACCCCGATCTGTGAGAGGCAAGGCGACTCACATTAAAAAAGCACCCGAAGGGAACATAAAACTACTACGTCCTCGTCGTTGTTCCTGTGTAACGCTAAAAGTAGTTTCTTGGAAAAATTCAACGCTATCTATCACGAATGAAAAAAATTGTTTCAATAAAAATTTCACGTACAATCTAATTCTGCAATGAAAAATGTGGGTCCCCATTTGAGATTTGAACGTTATCACCCACCCTACCCCGACAGGATGGGGGGGGAATAACTTTTATTATGTTTTTTAAAAATCTTTAACAGGTATTTTTTATTTCTCAATCCAATGATCATTTCTGGAGAATTGCGGAAAATATAATTTTTTGCGATTACAGCGCCATCTATCACGAATAAAAAAAAAAGTTTCGGACAAAATTTATGTATTTTGTGGCGTAGAATCCGTATCTGCAATAAAAAATGGGGGTTTCCATTTAAGATTTCAAAGTTACCCCAACCCCCACCCCCAGGGGGTGGGGTGGGAGGTCGAGTTTGGTATTATTGGATGTCCCCCTTCGAGGCTAACAACTTTCATTAACCACTTTTTTTTATCCAATGCATAGTTCTCGAGATATTTCAATGTCTTCAGATAAATCGTGCACCCTGTATAAGACGCGCAAGAAAGTTGCGTTTGCGGCAGAACATTGGTCGTTTATTGAAAATTTTTGAAATTTTTAGAAAAACAGAGAATGAGACGACAGGAGAGGGGAAATACTGCATCAGTCACGCGCTGGAGAATTACGCGTTTTCGACATCCCGCAAATATATCAATTTACTTCTTCAGGGAGAGGAGCAAGTTCAATCAGATGTTGCTAACAGAGATCCTGCAAATTTTCTTGCAACTCGTACAATTAAGAAGAGAAGAATTGACTCGACGTTTCTATTTCGATAACGCATTTTACCGTGTTACATCGGTATATTGGACCAGAATATTATGATTTAACCAAACTCACGCGCGTGGCAAACAAATATTTCTCGAATTCGGTGAAAAAATTTTGCAGCGAGCGAGTTGTGCAGACGCAACGTCATATTATTGTATCTGTGCAAAGTTTTGTCTTATCATTCTACTAGACAACATCCGCTTTTAGCTACAAGCAAAGTTAATTTTTCACCGCGTGATACTTTTCGTAGGCACATAGACGAAGGCGTATCAGTCATTTTGATAAATGACCAATCTGTGCTCTGCGAAAATGCAACTCATTGCCCATACTACGCATTAGCTCGGGTCTTGTTAATGAAACGCGATGAGCGTGTCAGACTTGTCGCGGCTTAATGTATTGTAATTATAGAGAGGAAATAGAAAATATTTCTTGCGTATATACGAGGGCGGTCCGATAAGTACTTAGCCTCACCGCCCGATGGCGCCACTATCGCAAGAGAAATTTACTATGGTGTAGTACATTCTCGTAGACGGCTACTGTCGAAATTTCAGCCGAATCGGACTCGTAGTTTTGTTTTGACCGCGTGTGGAAGCGAGCGTGTCCGCGGATTTTAGAAAAATGGAAAAAGAGCAATATCAGTCGGTGATTCGATTCTTGTTTTTGGAAAGGAAATCGCGCAGCGAAATCAAAGAGCGCTTGGATGCTGTGTACGGTGACTCTTCTCCTTCGATGGCGACCGTCCAAAATTGGTTTAACGAGTTTCAACGTGGTCGCACGTTGGTTTTTGATGAGCCACGCCCAGGTGTCCCGAAAACGGCTACCACGGAGGATAACATGACAAAAATCCACGATCTCGTATTGGTAGACCGCCGATTGAAGGTGCGCGAGATAGCTGAGACAGTAGGCATCTCAAAAGACCGCGTGGGTCATATCCTGCATGAAATTTTGGGCATGAGAAAGCTGTCGGCGCGATGGGTGCCGCGTTTGCTCACTCCGGACAACAAGCGCAACCGTAAGACCACTTCAGAGCAGTGTTTGACGCTGTTTAAGCGCAATCCGAAGGAGTTTCTGCGTCATTTCGTGACCGTCGACGAAACATGGATCCACTGGTACACACCAGAGACCAAGAAACAGTCGAAACAGTGGACTTCACCCGGCGAACGTTCTCCGAAGAAGGCGAAGACTATCCTATCGACCGGAAAGGTGATGGCCACCGTTTTCTGGGATTCATAAGGTGTGATCTACATTGACTACCTGGAGAAGGGCAAAACGGTCACAGGGCTGTACTATGCCGAATTATTGGACCGATTCGACGCCGAATTGCAGAAAAAACGGCCCCATTTGGCGAAGAAAAAAGTGCTCTTCCACCATGACAACGCACCGGCTCACACCTCCGCCCTCGCCACGGTCAAATTGGTCGAATTGGGCTACGAACTGCTGCCCCATCTACCGTATTCTCTAGATTTGGCCCCGTGCGACTTCTTTTTGTTTCCAAACTTGAAAAAGTCACTCGCCGGGCAGAAATTTGAGTCGAATGAGGAGGTCATCGCCGCCACGGAGGCCTACTTTGCAGACCTCGAGAAAACGTATTTTTCAGACGGGTTAAAGAAGTTGGAGCATCGCTAGGTCAAGTGTATCGAGCTAAAAGGAGACTATGTTGAGAAATAAATCGCCACTTTTCCAAAATTCTCGTTTTTCTTTTGTAGGCTAAGTACTTATCAGACTACCCTCGTATGTGAATCATTTATTTTCTCTAAGCATAAAAACAACTACATTTCACCTCGCGCGTATCTGAGTCCCACGCGAGAAGTGAACATTTCCGACAGGTTGCTCGGCAGAATGAGGCCGGTGTTGAGAAAACAAATAACACCTGAAAGCCTAAAGATCACCCTTCCGTCTCCTAAAGTTTAACGAACCTCCCGTCTCGAGTCCAATAAAAAACCAGCAAAACTGCCGTAAAACGTTTTACGATGCACAGCGCGCACGTTCGCGCATAGATCATGAGATCTGAGTGCAAGCTCATAAAGCGGCAAATTGCTTCTGCCGATTGATCATTGTTCTTGACTTCGTAGTCCAGATAGGAGTGTCACTGATCGAATGGAAAGCTGAACACGTTGCTTGAATTCAAAGTCGCCTCTCTCGCGCGCGCGACGCAGCTCCGAAACTCAATTGAAGTTCCGAAGCGCGCGAGAGAGAGAGAGAGAGAGAGAGAGAGAGAGAGGCGTCGGGAGGGCAACGCGTCGCCTCTTAAATAAATCATTCCGATGGCAAATGATTGCAGGACACGCAACATAGTTTCGCGGTCGACTACGACAACAATCAGTTCCTGCTGGACGGGAAACCCTTCCGCTACGTTTCCGGTAGTTTCCATTACTTCCGCACTCCCAGGCAGTACTGAAGGAACCGTCCAAGAAAAATGAGCGCCGCGGAACTCAACGCGGTCTCCACGTAAGTCGGAGCCCCGGCTTATCGGTCCTCCACGAAGACTAATTGTCAGCTACTTTATTGTTCACCTGTCACTTGATTGTTCACTTGTCATTATCCATTTTGCGTCATCAGTACCGTAACGGTACCATCACTTTTAACAATGCGCACCATTTTTAACAACGCACGAACGTCCCGATCTGCTCTAGATCCGTTGTACTTCCTTGTAACGACATAAAAATCCTTATGTCGTTACGCTGACTGCCGCCTAACATCACAGTCAGCTGAGCGCACACCCCCCGACCCGCGCCGTCGCCACGCCTCACGCCGCGCTCAGCCGAGCCTGCCCGAATACCCGGCAGCGACGCTCGGGAACGATCGGCCGCCGAGCCGAGCTCGCGGCACCGCCGAAGAAATCTTCGGCAAGTGCCGCATAACCACGATTAATTCCGATTAAAATTCGGAATTATCACCGATTAAGGGCCGGAGGAAACCGAAGTTAAGAAATCCCGGGTATATAATCCCGGCAGATTTCTGACAAGGGAGAGTCTCCAGAGTTTCGCCTCAGCAGATAGTTCCTAGAGAGGATCAACCGAGAAGCTCCTGCAGAATACGTAAGTCATTTACCAGGCCGTCCACGGCGGCGATTACGATTACCTCTTTTGCGATTTAGAGATCGAACGGCGAGTTTGCCGTCACTTCGGTGTGTTTTCCGGAACGATCTCCCGTTCTTGTGCCGTCTTTGCGATATAGTGATCGGACGGCGAGTTTGCCGTTGCTCCGGTGTGTTTTCCGGAACGATTCTCGTTTGTGCCGTCTTTGCGATATAGAGATCGAACGGCGAGTTTGCCGTTGCTCCGGTGTGTTTTCCGGAACGATCTGCCGGTCTTGTGCCGTCTTTGCGCTATAGAGATCGCACGGCGAGTTTGCCGTTACTCCGGTGGGTTCTCCGGAACGTTCTCGTAATTTCTTTTTTTTTTCCCATTTCATCATATAGGACCCCGGGGAAGCAAGGACCCGACGGCGTAGGATCTCACCCACCGACCAAGCGTGAAAGGAACACGCGTGTCGTCCTCGCCCCTCGCCCACCAACGCAAGCCGACATTTAGGCGACGTATAAGAAAGAGCACGACGTGCCGCGACGCGTTTTTGTAATTATTTTTGCGTCCCATCGTCGAGTTGCGTGCCGAAACACGGCCTTTAAAATCTCGGCGAAAACGCCCAGCAACGCACACTGTGGATTCCTTGGCGCACATCGCGCTACCGCTAGTTGGTGGCCACGTAATCATTTTATGTATAAATATTGCGATGTACGTAATATTCGTTAATTGGACGACGAGCGAATCGCGCGCCTGCGACTGCGACCACGCGTAGATCCCAGCGACAGCGAGACAAAGTCGCGCGATAATCGAACACCCAAACATTGGGACGTCGCGCCGAAACACGCGGTCGTAGCGTGCGACAAATAAAGACTTATTGTGTTATACATACTCGCCTACTATTATTGTCACGCACACACCTTCGCCCAAAAATCTTTCCTGTGGTCGGATCGCAGACGACGATCCGACCCGAAAAGAACCGAGCCCGGAGGCACGACCGTTACATCCTTCCTTCCTTCCCCCTGTAATGCAACATATCTACCTAATAGAAGTTTGTTAAATGAAGAAATGATAAGAGGGTAACAGATGTTGCGTCTGCCACTTTGTTTCCGCACGCAGCTACATCGAATGGAGCCTTCACGAGCCAGAATGAGGCCAGTTTAATTGGTCCGGTGACGCGGATATAGTAGAATTCTTAAGCATCGCCGAGCAGGAAGATCTGCTCGTGTTGTTGCGGCCGGAGCCTTACATCTGCGCGGAAAGGGACTTGGTAATTATGTCTCATCGTTTACTCGTCGGCGTGAACAGCGACGTCGAACGAAAATACAATATCCTGAGGCGATATCCCGCTTTCCGTTGACACAACAAAGTTTGGTACAGCGGAGAGATAAGTGCAAAGAGAGTCGTTCCTTTCTCTCTCTCTCTCTCTCTCTCTCTCTCTCTCTCTCTCTCTCTCTCTCTCTTTCAGCGCCATACCTGACGAGAGAGATTTTTGTCGGATTCATGCACCGCGTTTTATCTAGCGACGGAAATGTCGGGACTCGCGCTCGGAGTTTCGAGCTCTCGCGCTCGTCACGCCGCGCTCGCTACGGCACTGAGCGAACGCGAGGGAGCCGGCAAAATGCGATTATAAATCTACGATCTTCTTGTGTATTTGGCTGCAGGATAGTTTGACGTACTGGATGCTTCGGGACGCGCCGGATATAAAATTGCGCACGAAGGACGCACGTAAGACACATTTCTTTCCACTTTCCACGCGGCTAGAGAGAGGAAAGAAAAAGAGATCATGGGGAGATACTTTTGCACCCTGCTGCAGCCATCCCCTCCCACTCGTTCGTTATTGTTCGGACAAAATTGATGAATAGAATATCGAGACGATATATCGTGACGCTAGCCGCGATTAAACCCAATCCCAGCGACTCATCAATTGCCCGGTTCTTGCAGATTTCGTGAGGAGCGCTGCGCTTTACTTGACTAAACTGCTAGACAAGATAGAGCCATTTCTCCGAGGCAGCGGAGGACCTATCATCATGGTTCCGGTAATATGAGACTGATAAAAAATGCAGTGGAAGAATATATTTATCGCCGCTTGCTCAGCGTCAAAGGTTATCTCGCAAAATGATGACTGCGTTCTGCGGATGTGTTCTGCGGTGATGTATTGTCCGAGAGTTATCATCCTCCGATTAAGATAACAGAGCTAAAACTCCGGCTAATGCCGTAAACAAAAATAGAGATAAAAATAACTCTTATTGAAACATGCTCGCAGCAGGAGTATCAAATTGTGCATCGATTGCGCAACGAATTTTTAATTCCAACGATAAGAACGACGACGGTCCTTCGTGTAAGCGGAGATTTGGAAAAAAATTATAAATATAATATAATAATTATAAAATTATGAAATATTTTATACAATGCCGCGCGACGCTGGCGGCGTACGGCGAACGGCGATTAATCGCAGAAACGCGCGAGTGTGCTGCGCTCACCTCCGCGTTCCCGCAGGTGGAGAACGAGTACGGGAACTTTAACGCCTGCAACGCGGAGTACCTGAGGATCCTGAAAAGGCTCTTCCTCGACAAGATCGGCGACAAAGCTCTTCTGTACACGACCGACGGCACGTCCGAGTCAATGCTTCGTTGCGGTACTATACCAGGCGTATTCGCCACCGCCGACTTCGGCTCGGGTGCTAACGTCACCAAGGCTTTCGAGGCTTTGCGAACCAAGCAGCCGAAAGTAAGTGACACGAGGAGAAAGTGACACGACGGTAGAAATTACTACGGAGCTTCGTGGCGAAAAGAAAGGAACGTTCTGCCGTTAGTTATTTCACAGTCGGCTATCTTGCCTGTAATATAAAAAACCTATTAGGTGTGAATTAATTCTGTCCGGTTTTTCCTCCCAAAGAAAGACATTAGTATGAAAAAACATGAAAAAATACACTAATTAAAGTATTTGCCATCGCTTGCTATTATTTTTTACCATCTGGCTGTTGTTGCATTCCGTGACGGAAAAACGACTCGTCTTTCGAAGCGATCCATTCATTGAGCCATTTCTCTATTTCTTCATAATTGTTGAAGTGCTGGTCCGAAAGCCCGTGTGCCATCGATCTGAACAAGTGATAATCGGATCAATATCTGGTGAATACGGCGGGTGAGGTAAAACGCCCCAGCCAAATGTTTCCAAGGTGGCTTTCACAATCTTTCCAACATGTGGCCGAGCATTATCGTGCTGGAAGATCACTTTGTCATGTCTCTTTGCATATTCCGGCCGCTTATTCTTCAATGCGTTGTTTAAACGGATCAATTGTTGTTGGTAAAGTTTGGCAGTGATGGTTTGGCTCTGTCTTAATAGTTCATAATACTGTTACTCTCTCGTATATACGTCTTGCCGAACGTGGAATCTGTCGGCACTCATCTTAGCAACCGTTGTTACGGTTGTTGTTGTTGTTGACAGCAAGAGTAACTTTCTGTGGAGCGATCGAGCAGTTCGGTCGAATTACGTTCAGAGTTTCCTCTGAATAATTGTTCTCGTTTGCAAGCCTTGTACAAAGCTTTGTTTATATTAATGAGTTCTTGTTATTTGTTCACGGGAGTGTTGCTTACTATTTACGCGGTTGATCGTGAGTGAGAGGAAAACGATGCTTGAGCTTAACAATACATTACACCCTTCTGGTCCCACCATATACAGAGCATTACCTTCTTGCTTTGGAATATTCCGCTCTGGTATCGATGTGGATGGTTTTCCTGGGTCGCTAATGGATTTCCTTCGTTTGGGATTATCGAAATATATCCGCTTTTCGTCTCCAGTCACAATATGATGCAAAAAACATTTTCTTTTTGCCTGGCAAGCAAGATTTCAGACATGGCGTTTCGCCTCTCGGTGTCTCTTTTTTGCAGTTAGTATGGCACTCATCTTCCTTCTTTATCAATCTTTCCCATGGCTGCCAAACGCACAAAAATTGTTGATCGATCAACATTCAATAATTGCGCGAGCTCATGTTGCGATTGACACGGATCTTCATCGATTAGCGCCTGCAATTCCTCGAATTTTTCGGCTGACCTGAACGAGGTTTGTCATCGACACTGAAATCATCACTTTTGAAACGTCGAAACCATTCTCTGCATGATTTATCGGTGGGAGCACTTTCACCATAAGCTTCTACGAGCATTCGATGAGCTTCAGCGGTTGTTTTCTTCAAATGAAAACAGAAAATGAGAACTTTCCGGAAATGATGCTTTTTTGGCTCGAATTTCGACATTTTCGACATTAGATAAACACGATGTTATTGTTACAAATCCAAACGTTTATCAACTGAATATTATTGCCAGATATCAAAACTAAAAAATAAAGCGTTTCGCAGATATTAGAGGTTAGAAAATTACGTAGTACAGCAATTGACCGCCAGATGGACCGAATTAATTCACACACCTAATAATATAAAAACCGGTAATTGCGTTCTTTCAGCGGGATAAGCCTCACTTTGCTTCTGCACGCGCAGGATCCTCTGGTGAACTCCGAGTTCTATCCGGGATGGCTGATATACACAAGAGGAAGAGGATATATCCCAAAAAATTATTTCTCAAAAATTAGCCGAGTTCTGCTTACTACTATTACTCTGTCTATCGCAGAAACGATCGGCTATTATTTAATTCTCTTCTTTCTTAGCAGCTGAGTCACTCATTTCTTCAATCGCGATAGTAGAAACTCGTACAAAGCGAAAGATAAGCCTTTATGTAACTACAGTGTTAGGTATTTATATGTACGTTGGTAATGTTAATTGCTCCATCATCGATAATTATGCGATTGTCTGTCTCGTGCCCAAAGACTATATTTAATTCCCGGATCAAAAGATTATATAGACATGATTTGCGCAACAAGCGTGACAATCGTAAATTATTTATTAACAGCTCGTTCATATGAACTTACACACACACACACATCGGTGATGGTCGTCTCGCTGCTTAGCAATGCCAGATCGAATCGCAGGACAAACGCCTAAGCAGGACAAACGCGTAAGCAGCACTTCTGAGAATTACATATGTATGTCATCTCTGAGATTTGTTTTTCGGAAAAGTGCGAAAGACAAATCTCCTTGTAGCAATTACTACCTGTAAAGCAACGTGTGAAGCAACTCGCGACAACTGCGCGACATGCTTCACGTCATATGTAAAATGTTCAATCGCTGCTTATCATTGGCGTGGTTGTCACACAAAGCAATATTATAATATTTGTAAGTAAAATTGCGCGTGTCGAAAACCAATTCGTGGGATCACGTCGAGTGTGTTGAATTTGTAAAGCAAAGAAAAAAGTATTTTTTTTCTTTTACAGAAAGACGTTCTATATTCGTACACCTCCAGTTGAGTTTTACAAAGTAGTATTTTTGTAACTTGGCAGTATGAAAAATATTTTTCCTAAAAACTCCTCGATGTTTCGATTAGTACTTTTCAAACATATCTGTGTGTATCTCAGAAAACACCAATACACACAGTCTTATAATGTATAACAACCTACAACTTCTTTTGCTTCTCTAAATGTCATCTTTCAATGATGATGTTGTGGGAAACACGTGTGGCAAACGTGAGGAGGTGATATTAGCCGCGCTATCTTGCTCTCCTTGTGTTACGGAATTGTAGTGCGATTCTTTAACTCGTTATTGGAGTTAACGAAAGTGTCGTTAACTCCAATAACGAGTTACAGAATCGTACCATTAATACGATAAATACAATCGCTCCATAACCACTGCGAGATTGAACGTCGCTCGTCTTTATGTTAGCCCGTCAACGATAACACTTGCGCCACGCGGTCATGGTTTGTGACTGCTCGGAGATAAAAAGTGAAGAAGCGGTCGTGGCGGCGGGCGTTCAACGTTCAGAACGTCGCTTCCGCTTCGGCGTCTGCGTCTCTCCCCTTCACCTTGCATTTCCTGCGAACGAAGAAAGGTCGCGACATGATTCTCATGAATCACGTGGTATATCCCAATGCCCGCGTCCGTAAAACTCTAGCCCGCGGTTCATTTCACTCACTTGCCAATCTCCTCTCCGTCCTGAAGCGTCTCCGGCAGGGTGCATCCGGCAGTTTCGGGTAATAACAGACACAGCGCGGCTCCAATTAGCGGCAAGAGGCCGAATACGACCAGCGGCAGCCACGCTTTAATGCTGCTCTGAAATGCAACGTCCGAAGTAATAATCTGGAAAAGGAGATCGGCAGTTTGCGCAAGTCTCCGCGATGACGATATCTATATATGTACATTCGACGGTCACTTTTTTCTTTTTTTCACGAAAGACGGTTAATACAGGTTGCGTAAAAAGTTCGCAGAGCGAAACTGAAATAAAGAATACCAAATTCTAAAAATGATGTTATTCGTCAATATAGTTTCCATGAACTTCAATAAACTTGGCTTAATGGCTCTCCAATAATTTTATTCCATTGCGGAAGTGTGTTTTTGGAAGGTCTGCGAAATATGCTTCTATGGCTGCTATAGCTTCTTCATTCGACAAGAAATGCTTTCCACGGGGGAATTGTTTCAGGTTTCGGAAAAGATAGAAGTCGCTGGGTGCCAAATCTGGCGAATACGATGGATGATCAAGCAATTTATACTTCAATTCATTGAATTTAGACATTGACAAAACACTTATGTGAGTAGGTGCGTAGTCTTGGTGAAAAATGATTTGTTTGTGCTGCAAACCAGGTCTTTTCTCACGAATTTTTGCATTCAATTGATCCAAAAGGTTACAAAAATATTCAGAGTTAATTGTTTTACCTTTTTCCAGATAGTCAATTAACAAAATCTCTTTAACATCCCAAAAAACTGATGCCAGAGACTTTTCTGCCGATCTTTTATGCTTTGTTTGCTTTGGAGCTGATCATCCAGCTTCAGTCCACTGTAAACGCTCTTGCTTCAATTTAGGATCGTGGTGACAGATCCAAGTCTCATCCATAGTTATAAAACGACGCACAAAATTGGTTTTATCCTTCTTAAGACAACTCAAATGACGCTGTGAAATTTGCTTTCGAGCGAGTTTTTTTTAATTGTTAACGTATGCGGCACCACTTTTCCTAACACCCTTTTCATTTGTAATTCTTTAGGCAAAATATGCCGTTTATCTGAAATGCATATGGTATCAGCAATTTCACGCGTATTCACACTTGGATCTTCAGAAACAATTACATGTATTTGCTCAATGATTCTGGTGCTGATGCGCTTTTTGGACGTACATTGCGTGGATCATCTTCAGTGCTTGTACGACCACGTTGAAACTCAAATGCCCATTATAAACCATTGTTTACGAAGGAGCAGATTCCCCTAACACATTTACTATCTCGGAATGAATTTCTATTGCCTTTAAACCTTTTTTAACAAAGAATTCAACTGCACGCTGTTTCAAATTTTCCATTCCAAACAAATATACTGACACCTCAATTGGCTTGTAAACACAGAAAGAATTGACAGATAGAAATGAAACCTAACCTAGGTCCATGTGAAGAGTGATTCTATATAACCGACTACAATTTATAATTTTACCGTTTATTTATAGATGCCACTCCGCGAACTTTTCACGCAACCTGTAATAATAAACAACCTGTTCATGCGACACTGACGACGACGGCTCAATTTCATGCTGAACGTACGTGAGCAGAAGTCCGAACAGCATCTCGTCCCTGGTCTCTATAAATTTGCGATCGTGGACGATAATCAATTAATACGGCAACTCACCAAGGACACCACGAAGGGCGCCACGATGGAGCCTAGCCGAGCGAACATGCTGCTCGCGCCGACTCCGATGTTTCTCACGACTGTGGGGAACAGTTCTCCGGAGAAAAGGTAGACCGTCATAAACGATACCGACGTACCGACGATACTGAAACTCGCCAATAGCACCCTCACCCACGCGCTACCTGCGGCAAAGGTGCGATTGGTAAATTCAGGTTGTCTTGGTTGACAATCCGTCCAATTTGAAAGGTCCCGTTGTAAGTCGCATATTTTAACATGGCGATCGTTTACGACACACACACACATACACAACGCGCTGGTCTCTCACCGTTTAGCATGGCGATCAAGAGGAGACAGGAGACGCCGGCGATGAGGTTGTTGTAAATCAGGGTGACCCGCCGACCGAATTTGTTTATCGCCCACCAGCCGACGAAGTAGCCGGGGAGCTGTATGACACCGGACACTGCGAAGTTGATGAAAATATCGCCGCCGACCTGACCGATGTATTGCGACATGCCGAACAGGACCACTCCGCAAACGATCCAGTTGAAGAAGATCGACAGTGACTTGACGCGCATGTTCGACGTACGAAACAGATCCAGAAACGAGGGCTTGTGGTCCAGCGCGGATTTCTTGAAATTCTGGAATTCAAGCGAATTGGGGCGAATTAACATGGACTGTAACGCGCTCATGCTTGACTGAACTGATTAACCGACCGGTGTGTTGGCAGCGATTCAATGAAACAGCTCGACGGGACAGGGAGGGAATAATCGTCGCGCTTTTCTTTCACCTGCTGCAAACAATATTTCCTGACCACTTCGGGGATGTCGACGTTCTCCACTTTGTTGATATTGGCCGCCTTCTGCAGGATTTTGCAGGCCGCTCTCTGGTTTCCTATGGTTATCAACCACCTAGGCGACTCGGGCATCAACCACAAGTAACTTAAACAGACAATAGACGGAAGGGTGATGGCGACCTGCAGATATCGCCAGTGTCGAAGCCAGAACGCGAGTCCCGCCAGCACCATACAGCCCAGGCAGTAGGGAATTTGGTAAAAGGCGTTGATGGCGGCTCGCCACTCTGTGCCTACTATTTCCATACCTGAAAAGATACGCGATTAAAGCAGGTACACCGACATGAGCCGAAGCATCGAGTACTGGTAAGTCGCCGTAGCAAAATCTACATCGTACGCTGAGGAAGGAAATTGCGTCACTCTTACGGACATTACGATCTTGCGAAATAATTGATCGTAGCCTTTCATCTTGGGCAACTCGAGCGATGATTGATATCGTAGACTTACAATTAACGAAACTAATTACTATCGTGCCTCCAGTGGCCAAGGCACTCAGGAACTTCATCAGCAAGAGCACTTGAAACCAAGGAACTATGGCGCATCCGATCCCCGACAGCAGTTGAAGAACCACGGAAGCCATCAACGGCATTTTCCTGCCGTACCTGCAAATTATCACCTGTACTTTTTAATCTTCTCCTCCTCCTCCACCTCCTCCGCCATCTTATCCTTCCCCTCCCAGCCCCTTAATAACCGTGCGTTTATTCATTCAAGGCTTTTTAATTAATTCAAGGGTTATTAATTGTACATGCGTCCTCGCAAGCGGTTATTATTAATTCAATATGCGTCTAACTGACGTGACCGATGCACTTGCCTGTCCGCCAAACTGCCGAAGATTATGTTACCGAGCAGCGTGCCGAACATGAAAATCGACTGCTGTATGTTCGCGTAGTGTGTCCGGTCACAGACTAAATTCCACTGCAACGAAAATAAACCTCGCAATAACGACAATGCTCGCCGTCGTTCTTACGATAATTCTTCGTAATTGTTTTGTCAGCGAAATGTGCTAATAGCGCCCGCAGCAATTTCTTCGCTACAAAGCGCGGCAACGTCCGTTAATTACGTTACCGTGTGATGCAAATACAGCTCGCGACGCGCACAGAGAGAGAGAGAGAGAGAGAGAGAGAGAGAGAGAGAGTGCGAACTCTGCGAGCGAACTCTGCGAGCGCGTGCAAGCACGCGTGTGGATATTTTTCCCCCTTTTTTTCCCCTTACTTCGGAAATCGAGCGCTCGTCTCCGAGCAGTTTCCCGACTTGCGATGCGCAAGCATCGTCCTTCACGCTCACCTGCGAGATGATGGTCTCGGAAAAGATACTTCGGTCATACGTCCATTCCGTGCACTTGACCAGCGTGCCGTTAATATCGACCGCGCACTGGTCTTCGGAGTCCGTTGTGGCGGGCACCGTGCAATTATAATCCTGCGGCGGCGCTATGAAGACGATCGCCAATTGGTGCCAGGATACCGGAAATTTCACCAGGGACATCGCCAGGCAGACGAAGATCTGCCACCTGCCGATGTCGCCGATTGCGGTCTGTACAGCGTCGAAGTTCCCGTCAGCGTCGACATGTTCGTCTTTAACGTTGGACACTCGTTTGACGTTCACGTTCGCTGCAACCCAAAGGGACGTCCTTTTCGCATCAGCCGGATAATAAATTAGACATATTGGACCCTGTTCATTAGGAGCCCTTGGATCTGTTATGTCTCTGCGTCTCTGCCGTGATGTCGATCTCCATCGACACCGCTCCATCGACACCGGAGCAAAAGCGAGAACACGTCTCGGCTTCGCTTGAATCGGGAAAATCGCGCCAAGTCAGCTAGCGGCTTGTCGTGAAGAGCGTAAATGTCAAAGCAACACTTATCCCGTGAATATTATAACGAGTGGTTAGTGCTGAACGAAGCGGCATTTCGCGTTCTTTTATCACGTCTTCTGTGCGTTACGATCACGTTACGCGATCACCTATCGATGACTTAATTTCGACTTTCTCGCATGACACCGCCGAGGAAAACGGCGACCTTAGTAGTTTCCGCTCGTTCAACGGCAAACTTCCTCGCTTTTGTTACTTTCGTTTCCCTTTTCCACGCGCGCGTTGTCGACTTCGCGGCAATTACGCGTGTGTGAATTAGCAATTGCGCAAGCGCGAACATCGGCTAGCGGATGTACCTGGAAAGCCCTGCCCTGTCGCGACTACGACTTTTTACCCCAGTTTTTTGTGAAATTAAGAGAGTCGAGAATCCGCGGCCGGCGGCGACTCCCAGCGCTTGCGAGTGTTTCATCGCCGAGATGAGTCCTCGATCGCGCTGCGGATGACATTTCGACGACAAGAGCGACGCTTGAAGAGACGCAGGCGTTTGCCAAAGGTAAATGACGATGAAACTAGTTCGTGGGAGAAGAAATGTTAGATAGTGCACGGAGATAAAACGGGGGCGCGCTAACCTCGAAACATCGAGAAAACAACCTTTGGCTGCACGCTCGAGTGTTCCAATTTACATCGGCATTCTTCTCCGCGATGCCGCGGAAAGTTCAGTGTTGCGACTTTCATGCGCCTCTTTCGCACTTGACGCTGTAATTTATTCACCGGCCATTGTTATACGTACGTGCGCCGACGGAAGTGAAGGTTTTTTCACGGATTTCGCGCCGATTGTCCGCCAAGCCCGAGCGCGGACGAACACGCGCGGGTAGATCGTTATTCGTCGCGGCTTGCCGAATTTGCATATTGCACTCGCGCGCTCGAAAGTTCTCGACGCGAAGCGCCGTTAATTTCGCAACGAACGAATGTTCGTCTCAATCGCCGTACACGATCGCGACATCGCAAAACGTACCGTACTTATAGATTCTCGTATTCTTCATAGTCTCTCGCTCGCTTCCGCTTCCGTTTTCTCCCGCACTCTATACAGGAAGATCTGCAACACGGATGGTGATAGATGTAGACCGCTGACGACATGGAATAATAATGAATCGCATCACGAACGTATCGATGAGAGACGAGCGTTTGGCAATTGAATGCGCGCGGCGGATTATTCGCTCCGTTCAGAGAAAAGCCAAAGTCGCAACTCGAATATACTCGATAAAGCAACCCCCTATGACCTTTCTTTTTTCTCTCTCTTTAGCGCCGATCGACACATGACTTCCGACACACCTATGAGCTCGCCTTTATCCGCGCGGACGTGCTCGCGCGTAGCGTCGATAAAACTCTACTCTCCACTCCGGAGAAAATGGCTCTCCATTTTCGCCATTTCTCGCGGTTATCATTTACGACGCGACACACTGTTACCGCGTACTATTGAACTTATCTATAACTCCGCCGAAACTTCACTCCGCCGGACATTTCCCATTTTTTCTTCCCGCCAAGTGTCAGGATGATCCTCTGGAAATCGCGTTCTGTCTGCACACGTGCAGTTTTTATCCGCGCATTCCCTAACAGAACAGAGCGGGGAACGACCGGCCGCCGATGACTTCGCCTCGAGGGTTAAATAGCGTGTTGATTAACGAGAATCTATATCGAATTCGCGCTTACGGAAATCAAACTCGGATATCCGGCCGGCTTGAGAGAGGAATCTCATTCCTCCTTTTCCTCTTTCTTCCTATCCCCTGTCTCTCTCTCTCTCTCTCTCTCTTTCTCTCTCTCTCTCTCTCTCTCTCTATCTCTCTGTCTCTCCCGCTTTTGGCGTAGCGTCACATACGCGTTGCGAGTTATGATCTGGGAAATGCATTTGTTCGCACTCTCGCGTTTAGCTCGTGCCAGAAACTGACAAGTAAAGAGTCTTTCGAACAGTGTTCTCCGAGCCGCGGCCACCATGCATCGCACCGCACCAGAGGAGGGATGCTGGCGCCAAACATCGCTCGTCGAGACGCGCCTCTACATAGGACTGTAGAAAAACATATACCTGGGAAGGGACCCTACTGCAACCTGCAACCTGCAATTTAACGGCTAAGACGACGAGAGGCAATGTTTTCCGAGAACGGGTCGGCCATGAAGACCGTCGAGATACGGGTCGAATTTTTTCTCGGTGAAATTTGCGCTTAAATGGAACGAGCTCGGCGGTGCTCCAGTTGCTCGAAGTGCGAAATGACGAAAAGTATACGGAGCGATGGAAAAGATATTCTCTCTGTCTGCTCGAGTGAAATCGTCATCTCTGACGAGGATGATTGAAGAATGCATGCTCGCGAATGGTTCCTCGAGGATATTAACTCGATCGGCCGATTCCGGGAAGGCCGATTGCGCTCATCGTCGTAAAAGAGAAACACGGCGATGGGATGGACGTGACTCGAGGATCGAAAGATCGGAAAAAGCATTCGACGTAGGAACTGAAGTACGAGCGCGCGACGGTTTCCAACGTGGATTCCGCCGAATATTCAATTCTTCCGACGGTTCCGCGCCGCCCGGAAGCGGGGTTGCTGCGCCACTGCGCCTCATCTTGGGCTCCATGTCGGAGCATCGCGCGCGCCACTTTATTGTTGCACATGTAAATGCGCCGCTGCAACGCAGTAGTGCATTTCTCCATTAACCCCAATTAAGTCAGTCGCTTAAAAATATACACTGCCGCACGTCGAGCGCTAGCGATGCGCATCAGCGCATCCACGTATGCATCGAGTGGCTTGATTGCGTAAAAGAAGAGAGTCCCTAAGGCCTGTTTTCAGCACCCTTCAAAATTGGACCAAAATGGCTGGAGTCACTTCCTTGTACCCTTGGAAGTAATATTTAGTCAATTCCAGCCTAAACGGAAGTATTTAGAGTGTATACTTCAAGTATACATGGTGCAAGTATACAGCGCGCCCGTATCAAGCATTTCTTTGGAAAGCTAAGCGTTTCTGAGAAAAATGTTTCAGATAAAAGTTGTATGGTTTCAAGGGGAACATAAGATGGTGTCATTGGTTTGACCTTGGATAGTCATTTAAAGGTTACGTGAGTGTCGATTTCAATATTTTATATAGAACCTCCTATTTTTACATACCTTGTAGCTTATCTCGAGAGCTTTCCAAAACACTTATAACTAAGTCATTTTTCATTAAGTACTTTGCGAGTTATGAGGCTTCTTACAGATAGATTTGTAGAAACGTTACTTAAGGAGATCCGAGATTGAAATCATATTATTTATTCTTGTTGATTCTCCACATATGAACAGTAAAATCGTAAACATAATCTTCCTTTAAGAAGCCATGTAGATTGGGGTGTTGGATTTACGTGAGTCCCCTTGCCTGTCACTTTTTATCAATTATCAATCCACGCTTAACAAAACCCCGAAGTTTAGCCATGGAAGGTACAACAACAAGCGGCGACTTTGCAAATAATGCATTTATGTGGCATAGATGGTCTATTAAAAAGAATAGTTATTGTTTCGTTTGCAGGAACATTAATATTTTCTGCCATATTGGAAACGCCTAATCATAAATTGCAATTCACTGTAGAACAAATCTGAATAATTATGCAAGATTAAAAACTAAAGAAGGAGAAAAAATAAAGAAGAAAAACTCAAGAATAACAAGATATCTTTTTGCGTAATAAAAAAATCTCGAGAAGCAGCTCTGACAAGAACTAGTTTTATTTTTATCGTAACCAGGTCTCTGGGTACGCGCATACACGCATTTTGTGTATCTCTGACATTAAGATATGAGATCGGGTCCGATATAAGACCATGGACATAAGAAGATCTTGGTCTATTGAATTAAAAGCTTAAGGGATCGTAGTTGCTCAAAAAGGTGCATACAGTTCTTAAAACAGTTATTTTCAAAACTTCGTACTTATCCTTGCGGCAGAAAATACGTCAGTCTTTTCTTTCAGAAGTATTAGGTTGGTGCATATGAAAAAATGGTGCATATGAAATGTCGGATTTTCTTTACATGTGAACGTTTGTCTCCCTGTTTTCGTTATGCTTTTGTTTTTGGCATAACCTCATTTATAGTCGTACTGTCCATTACCAGAGTCACATTTCAACAAAGAAGATTTTGACAAAAGTGTTACATTATGTTATTTGCTTTGAATTTCGTAAGGATATGAATTCAATCGATATTCGTGTAATTTTTTTCATATGAATATAAACTTGGTAATAATGCTGCAAAAGCTACACGCAATATAAACCAGGCGTTTGGGGAGAATATTGTTAACGATCGAAAAGTGCAGTATTGGTTTGAAAAATTTCGGTCTGGTGATTTTTCCCTACAAAATGAACCGCGTGGAAGACCCAAAACGTCTGTGAAAAGTGATGCTCTGAAAACATTGGTGGAAACGAATCCAACAGTATCTACAAGGGTACTTGCTACCAGAATGAAAGTTGACCATACAACAATATTGCGACACCTTTCTGAAATTGGCAAGGTGAAAAAAATGGATAAGTAGGTACTGCACGAACTAACCGAGCGAAATAAGCTGGATCGGTTTAACGTATGCTAATCATTACTAACCCGATTTCATCGAGAGCCATTTTTCGATCGGATTATTACTTGTGATGAAAGATGGGTTCTTTACGACAATAGGAAAAGGTGTGCTCGGTGGCTTGATAGGAATGAGGCTTGTGCTCATACTTCAAGGCTATCACTTCATCCACGGAAAATTTTAATAACAGTTTGGTGGAATGTGACTGGAGTAATTCATTACTCATTCCTTCGAACTGGGGAGACAATTACAGCCGAAAAGTACTGCCAGTACATTGATGAAATGCATGAAAAATTGAAAATTATACGCCCATCACTTGTTAATCGGCATGGCCCAATACTTCTCCACGACAACGCTCGGCCGCATATATCGTACAAAACAAAATTGCGAAATTAAATGAATTATAAATAAAATATGAAATTTTGCAGCACCCAGCTTATTCACCGGATCTTTCGCCAACCGATTTTCATTTTTGTTAACATTTAGAACAGTTTTTACGGGCTAAACAATATGAAAATGACAGTATAACAGTCTGAAAAATTCCATATCAGAGTTTATTGATTCTAAAGATCAGAATTTCTTTAAGATAGGCATCTATGCATTAAAATCTCGTTGGGAAAAGTGTATTGAAGCAAATGGAGTATATTTTGTTAAATAAACAGCTTTTGAAAAAAGATATACAGTTTTATATATTCACTTAAAAATCCGACATTTCATACGCACCAACCTAATATTTGTAATAAGTGTTTTTACGTGATCTACGATATTGTTTTGGAAAGCTCTCGAGATAAGCTACAAGATATGTAAAAATAGGGGGTTCTATATAAAATATTGAAATCGACATTCACGTGACCTTCAAATGACTATCCAAGGTCAAACCAATGACACCATCTTATGTCCCCCTTGAAACCATACAACTTTTATCTGAAACATTTTTCTCAGAAACGCTTAGTTTTCCAAAGAAATGCTTGATACGGGCGCGCTGTATACTTGCACCATGTATACTTGAAGTATACACTCTAAATACTTCCGTTTAGGCTGGAATTGACTAAATATTACTTCCAAGGGTACAAGGAAGTGACTCCAGCCATTTTGATCCAATTTTGAAGGGTGCCGAAAACAGGCCTCCTCCTTTGTTGACTCGGGGCATATTAGTTATTAGGAGGAACGACTCAACCAACATGCTCATTTCTCGTCTCTCTCGAGCGGCCACGATTCAATTAATCAGCCGACCTCCGCGCGAGCCGCTCGGGTCTCGCGATCGCTTCCGAAGCACGTTCGGTCTCGCTTCCGTTCGATTGTCGCACCAACTTCACTTCTGCCCTGACGACGACGACGACGACGATCGCCGTCCGCGCGCGCGAGTACGAACCGTGCGCAAAACACTTTGCGAGTGCGAGACTTCGAAAGTTTGCATTTCGCCGTAAACGGGCTCATTTAGCCGAGTAATTACCTTTATCCTTATCTTTATCCTTATCGGTCAGCATTCGAATACAATTCGAATACAACTGAAATAGACACGCCGTTGCAACTTTACGTTACTTACACGTGCGCTATTTTCTATGCTCGCTTCGACTGCGGAATCGACTCCACGTGCCTTGCGCGGCACACTCGCAAAAATGTCATTGCGATCGCGTCGATGCGTACACATCCGTCGACGGTGTTATCTTCCTGCCTTTCTTCGTTTCTTTTTTCTCCCTTTTTCCGTGAAAACGCCGTCGTACCTCACAGAGACCGCCCGCGCCGCCGAGACTCCAAATCCACGCGAGATCATCTAGATAAGATACGTGGTCTTTGTCATGTTTATAATTTACATAAACATGACAGATGCCTTGCGTCTCTTCTTCTTTATCGCCGTCATATATTATTCATGGACGAGATACAGATTCGTATCAGATGTCTCTATTAATCCAGCAAGAAGCAAGCTTCGCCGCGGTAATTGTCGCTTAATCAGCAGTGCAATTGACGCATTTGCATGTTTCCCGCGCGTATTCGCACGATGGAAAACCGAGGTTTCGTTTCCCTCCGCGAGTTATCGCGTATCGTGAATCATGCGAACGAGGAAAACGAGGGAGAAAGAAGCGCCGAGTAAACGAAAATTGCCGAATACGGTATATATTGTATATACAGAGTCATCGAAAAGTATCGGACCCGCCTAATATCTTCAGTTAGAATGCATTTTGGAGAAAATGTCCAATAGCAAAGTTTTATGGTTTCAAGCGGGGAGTAAGACGATGACCTCGACTTTGACCCTGATCATGTCCTTCAAGGTCATTTCAAGGTCAACCTTATTTTTCTTAATGGAACTCTCAACATTTTATTGCACATTCTTATAGCTTATCTCGAGGGCTTTCCAAAACACTATAATGAAACATTTTTTCATTAAGTACTTTTTGAGTTATAAAGGTTTGAAGTTAAAAATTTTTGACACAAAATGTAAAATATCTTGTAAAATATTATTTAATTTTCAGTAATCATAACCTTAATACTTTTGTGCGCGAAATAATGAGACCAATTAATTGGTTTAAAGAAAATACATTAATCGAAAAGTATCGGCTCCCCCTAATATTTTCAGTAAGAATGCATTTTGGAAAAATGCAATCCAATAGCAAAGTTGTACGGCTTCAAGCGGTTATGCTAGTAGGCTATGGCTGAAAACTGCCCGAAGGTGATCGCGAGAAGCTGCTCGAATGCGTGATGTCCGAAGGCGTTAGCGGGAATCTGTCCGAAAGCGTTGGCGGGGCCGATCTTTATTGTCTCACTCTCGCAGGCACGAATAGCAATACAAGCTCTTGAGCAAACAATGCGGATCACTGATTTGAATCTTTGTGCTGTCTTCTTCTTAGCGAGCAGCAGTCACCTCGTGGACGAAAACGAACAGTCCCAAAAATTGTTTCTGTAACAAAAGAAAGCCATTGCGCTTCAATTGATTGTCCCAAACATCTTCATTTTGTTTCCAATAGCCCAGAAATTTTTCGTAAATATTATTAATTGATCTATTAGATTTTCAGTTGTTCAACGAGCTTTTTGCTAGTGCTGGTTGAAATAAACAAATCGATAGTTGGACCAACACTTAATAATTAGTATTTCTCTCTACTTAATTATTTAGATTAATTTCCTATCACTTACCTGATTAATTCTTCTTTACTCTAATTAAGAATGGCGGGGCTTTCTGAAAGAGATCGAATAACACTGTTAATGATGCGAGGATGGGGAGATCAACAAAGAGGTCAAACAATAACGCGATTATTTAATGAAAATTTTCGGAATGAAAATAATAGGATCTCCAAAAGTACTGTAATTCGTACTATTCAACGTTTCGAGGAAATTGGTAGCGTTAAAGCCGCCCAAGATCTGGTAGACGTAAAACAGCAAGAAATAATGATAAGGCATTAGATGTTTTACAGTCTTTCGTTGAAAGTCCCCACATTTCCATCAATCGCATTGCACAAGAACACGAAATCGGTCATTCATCTGTCAGTAAAATTCTGAAATTGAATAAATGGCATCCATACAAACTCCATTTGGTTCAAAAGTTGTTCGAAGACGATTTTGATAGACGCATCGAATTTTGTGATCTTATGATGGAGATGATTGTCGACGATCCTCTATTACTTAATAATATTGTTTTCTCTGATGAGACAACACTTGAACTGACTGAAAATATAAATAGACACAATTGTAGTTACTGGAGTGACGTTAATCCTCACTGGAAAAGAGACAATCATACCTAATATCCACAAAAAGTTAACGTATAGGCTGTTCTTAATGGTAGACCAGTTGGCCCTTTGTTCATTGAAAGCAATTTGACAGCAGAAGTATACACAGTCATACTTCGCGAACAAATTGTTCCAGCTGTTCGAGACATAGCTGGTGGAAATATGGATGAAATTTATTTCCAACAGGATGAAGCTCCACCTCATTATGGTGTCATTGTCCGTCAATATTTGAATGAGGTCTTTCAGGACAGGTGGATAGGGCGAGTGGCCACCTCGGTCTCCGGACTTGACCCCACTTGACTTTTTTTTGTGGGGTTACTTGAGAAGTAAAGTTTATGTCACCATTTCTTTTTTGGTAACGCAGGGGAAATCCATCATGGATACCCCCGACCCTTTTGGAGGATCAGGGGTTATGTCAGACTCCTACTGACTAAAACCCCTAGGGGATGTCTACCAACCGGACCGTGGTGAGGGAGTCAGGGGACTACTCCCGTATTCCCTCCCCGACACCCTGGCCCCAGGGCTCTCCGGGAGCCCCACAGCCTCGAATACTACGTCCTATCCCGCTGAGAGAGTCCAGGACGCGGTCCCCCGACTGGTTTCCCAGCCGAGTTGGCCTTCTGGTGATTACTTGGAGGGAGGGGGCATCCACCCTCCCTCCGCGTCCCCCATTACTCCCTTCCATAGGGGGGGGGAGTGGAGCCCAGTCCCAAACCCGAGCTTCTACTCCCCCCTCTGCCTATCCTATCTGACGCCTAGAGGGGAGCGGGTGGGTCGACACACCCTTCATCTCCCTATCCCTCCGCGTCCAAAGTCGAGTCCGAGGTGGCCGAGGAGGCGGCCTCCGACGGACCGGAGGCCTGTCTTTCTCCTCGGCCGGCGCCCCTTCGGGCCCGCTGCTTAACCCCGGGAAGCGCCGCCCTCCCCGCTACTGTCTGCGGCGGTCTCCGGGGCTACGCTCCCACTCGGCGGCCTCTTTCCGCGACAGCACGCTGCAGCAGAAGGAGGCCGCCTCTCCCCAAACCTCCTCGCTCCCGCACATGGCCCTTGCCATGCGCGGGAGCGAGAGTTCAGACTCCCTACTCCTCACTGCCCGGGCTAGGACATCGCGCTCCCTGTCCCATGCAGGGCATTCGGCCAGGATGTGGTGCACGGTATCGTCCAGTTCCGGGCAGTGATGGCACCTGGTGGTGGGCTCTTTCCTAGTCCGGTGCAGGTAATGACCGAAGCATCCATGTCCGGTCATCACCTGCACCAGATGAAACGTGAGTCCGCGCCCCCTCCTGCCTGCGAACTCCGCCAGGCAGGGGCGGACGGCCGTCGTCATTAATCGCCCGAACTCCCGCGGGGCGAACATCGCGTCCTCCCACCGCTGCAGAGCCCGGGCAACCACCTAAGACCGCAGGGCCCTCAGCTGCCCGGTCGTTGCCTCCCCCCTTTCGCAGAACTTCTTGGTTCTCCAGTACAAGATGCACCTTTCTTACGCAAGAAGCTCCACCGGGGGAGGAGCCGACCAGGGTCGTCGCCGCCATGTACGCCACGGAGCGGAACCATCGGATCGCCCTCACGGCCACTGCCCTCAGCGCCTGGCGCATGAGATTTTTGCCTTGGGCGGTGGCCAACAGCTGGGGCGCCCATATTGGCGCCCCATAGAGGGCGATCGACAGTACCACTCCGACGTACAGGCGGCGAGCATGCCAACCCGGTCCCTCCTGGGTCTGCATCAGCCTGACGAGTGCCAGGCCTGCCTTCCTGACCCGAGGGGCCAGGTCCCTAAAGTGGGCCCTGAAGTCCCACCGGCCGTCCAACGTCAGGCCCAGATACTTTATCGTGGGCCCGACGTGGACGCGGACTCCGTCCACCATAACCCGGGTCTCCGGTGGCGCCCCGCGGCTGCCGTCGTGGAAGTAGACGGCCTCCGTCTTGTGGGGCACAACCTTGAGACCTAGGTCACTAATAGTGCCCACCACCGTCGCCAGGACCACCTCCGCGTTGAGGCGGGCCTCCCCCTAGCTACCCCCCCCCGGCTACCACCAGAGTATCATCCGCGTAGCAGATGACGTGGCATTCGGGGGGGAGGGGCGAGCGCAACACCCTGTCGAACGCGATGTCCCATAGCAGGGAGCCCAAAACGAACCCCTGCGGGACATCAACCGCCGGCCCTGGACCCCGCCTTGAACCGGATAGGCGAGGTCCCTGCCCTCAAAATAGGCCGCGAGGATGCGCCGGAGATAGGCAGGCACTCGATGGTGCTCGAGCGCCCGTCCAATCTCCGGCCACGGCAAGGTGTTGAAGGCATTGGTGATATCCAACGATACCGCCAACAACACCCCGCCTTTCTCCTCCACGACGGACCCGGACGTGCTGGATCGCGTCCAGCATCGATCGTCCGGGCCTGAACCCGTATTACCTGTCGTGGAGGTCCGGCCCACTTGAGGACAGATGCTGGACAAAGCGGTCAGCAACGATATGCTCGAGCATCTTGCCCGCCTCGTCCAGCAGGCAAATCGGCCTATAGGCCGGCAGTCCATCGGGTGTCTTGCTCACCTTCGGGAGGAGGACCAATTTGGCCCTCCTCCACTCTGGGGGGAAGACCCCGTCCCTGAGGCACCCGTTCATAACACCCCTTGTGACTTCGGACATGCTCCGATCGCCGAGGGCGAGAGCCCAGGCGCAGCCAGGAATGCCGTCGGGGCCAAGGGCTTTGCCCCTGCCCCCCAGCCTCTTCCTGGCGCTAGCGAGCTCCTCCGGGTTGACCCCCAGGTCCTCGGTCCACTCCCCATCTTCTAGGGCATGGATCCGCGGAGGGGCTCCCTCCACCCTCGGGAAGAGGGTGTTAAGGAGCCCTTCAGGTCCTGGGGGTCCAAGGACTCCGTTGGCGGAGGCGCCCACGGACGGATCTTCCCGACCGTCCGCTTGTAGGGGCGCCCCTACTGGTCTGCGTCCAGGGAGCTCACCAATTGCTCCCAGGCTCCCGCCTTCGCCTCTGCTATAGCGGCCTTGAGGGCATCTCGCGCTTGGCGATAGCCCTCCTTCTTCCTCGTGGCCTCCCTGTACTTCCGCCGGGCCCGGGTGTACATCCGCCTAGCCTGGGTAGCGGCCTCTCGCAAATCAGCGCTGGCCGCCGTCCACCAATAGGCGGCTCGGCGCCGATGGGGGTGGAACCGGGGCATCGCGACGTCACGATACCCACCAGTTGCGTAGCCCCTTCCTGGGAGCTGGCGTCCCACTTCCTGGCATCTCATCAAGATGCCAGGCGGCCGCGAGGATAGCCGCCCGGAACATGTCCGAGTCCAGCTGACTGAGGGCCCATCTAGGGGGAAGGGGAGCCCGGTCCCCCCCTTGGGCAGCAGTCTAGCACCTGCGGAGGGGCTTGGGGACCGAGGGCCCAGACAATGTATCTGTGATCTGACAGATTGTCGCCCTCGGTCACCACCGCCCACTCCCGGAAGATCCGGGCGGCCGAAGGGGAGCCTCAGGTCAGATCAATGACCGACTCCCCGTTCGGCCACACACAGGTGCTGGTCGACCCCCTGTTCATCAACAGGAGGCCGAGCCCCACCGCCCAGCCGATCACGGCGTTGCCCCTCTGGAGATCCCCCTGCCGGGGGCCGCAACCCCACACTGTGGAGTGGGCGTTGAAGTCCCCGGCAACCACGACGGGTCGGGGGTGGCGCACCTCCCCGACCTTGTCAAGGATCTCCATTACGTGGAGCAATTTGCCAAGACCGACCTCGTTTTTGCGAGGGTGCAAATACATCCACACAATCGTGACGGGCCCCCAGTCAACCGCCACGTACGAGTTCCCCTTCTTCCTGCATTTGCAGGGGGGGGACCCGTAGCGGGGTGTGCCACCATGACCACTTTGCCGTCCGGGCTCCCGAACCAGTCGGGACTGGATAACGGGATCCAGAACGGCTCGGTGACCAACCCCAGCCCAGCCTCCAGTTCTCTCAACCCGTGGGCGAAGAGATCCTGGGCGCGTCGGCTGTGGTTGAGGTTGGCCTGCAGGACCCGGAGAAGGGGCGTGAAGGCTAAGCTTTCGGCCCCTCCTCCGGGCTACCCACCTCTGCCCTCACAGGAGGAGCTCCAGACGATAGAGTTGTCACCCCGGCTCCATCCGTGGGGGTTTTGGCCATGACGGCTTTATCCACAGGTACCTCCAAGACGGACCCCTCCGCGGAGGTGCAGGGAGTCCCTACCTGTATGTCCCCTTCCTCTGGAGAGTATAAGGAAGGGTCCATAACATGGGGAGCTAAAGAGGGCGCATCCTCCAACTCCCCCTTTACTAGAATCGTTGGGGGTGAGCCTTCCAGCATCACCCTCCTCACCTTCTCGGCCTCCAAAGGTCCAGCCTGTTCCTCCTCCTCCAGGTCCGCTGGTTCCGCGGTGTCATCCTTGATGGCCCCCCGTTTCCTCGTGGTCCTCTGCTGGAGGGGCTCCTCCGGCTCCGAATCCCTATGGATCACGGCGTGGACTACCTCCGTCCATGGCTCTAGCTCCATGGGAGAGGGTGTGAGGGCCTGTCTCCCCTCCCCTTGGTCCTGCGCCGAATTCCTCGATGAGTGGGAGGAGGTAGGGGCATGCCTCCTCCTCTCCTCCCTCAGTTCCTGCACCGGGTCCTTCGATGAGGGGTGGGCCGGCTTGGTCCCCCTTCTTCTCCCCTGGGGATCCTCTCGAGTGGCCGGGGTGGGGACTCCTACCCCTTCCCCTGCTCTATCCTCCCCGGCGGTCCTCCTCTTCGCTCTCCTCCCGATTCCTCGGGGGTTTGCATGCTGGCTCGCCGACCCCGTGGTCGGACGGGCCTCTCCTCTCGGCACACACCACACATTTTTCTGAGGCCGCCCTGCAGTCCCTGGCGCGGTGACCGGGGTTACCGCAGCGATAACAAGTATCGCTGCGGTCGGCGGTGTTTCCGCACCGCCCGCGCACATGGCCCCGCTCCAGACACCTGAAGCATAGGGCCGCGCGGACGGGCAGCACCACCATCCTGGCGAGGGTCCAGCCCACCTGGACCCGCTCCGCAGTGGCGACCTTAGAGGCCGCCGCCTGCGGACACCGCACCAGGGCCGTCGCCATCCCTCGCTGAGGTACACGGATCCCGCCCACGGACACCTCCGTGGGCAGGCATCCCCCAGCGAGGGCTACCGCCTCCGTCACCTTCTGGACCCTGAGCGTCAGGTCCAGGCCGGTGAGCCGCAGTGTCGCGATCCTCACCGGTCTCTGGACCCGATACTCGGGGCCCTCTTCAGTCGCCAGCTTGCGGAGCTCCTCCGCAAGCCGGTCGGCTGGAGCCCCGGCGTTGAGGCCAGGCACCTCTACAAGCAAGGCCCCCGTAAGGGCCCGGCGGACTCTTAGGGATCCCGGGATCCTCAGGTCCGCCAACCTGATTCGGCGCCTGGCCTCAGCCATGAACCGGCTGTATTCGCCGTCGGGACACGTGAGGGTGACGGCGGCCGACCTTGGCGGCCTCAGCCTGGTCTTACTCCCCTTCTTCGACCCCGAGGTGGGCCGAGGAGGAGGGTCGCTGGGAGAGAGATTACCCCTCTTCTCCTCTCTCTTCCTCCTCTCCCTCTCCCTTCGGCTGAACACCGTGGTCCACCCTTTTTCTCCTTGTGACTCCTTGGGCTAAGCCCTGTTGGTGGTGGTGGGGATGCCCTTCCAAATCCCTCCTTTCTTTCCTCTCCTTTGGCCACCTGCGCATACGATATCTTTTTCTGGAGGGGGGGCGAGATCCCCGGTCCCCGTTTCACGGGGCCCGGAGCGATCCCCTCCTCCCCACGGATGGCGGCCACCTGCCTCCTCCTCTCCTTTTGTCTTCTCCTCTGCTCCTTCTTCTTCTGCGTCTTGGTCCTCGGGATTCCGGGTGTCGGCCCTACAGACCCCTTCCCCCCACTCTCAACCGGGTCGGCTATTGCCTTCCCCGCCGGGAGGGGGGCAGGGTCGAGATCCCCATGCCGCACCGCATGTCCCAGGACCAATTCCCCACACTTGCCCTTCGTCAAGTCCCCCCTCATTAACGTGAGCCGGACAAGCTCCTCCGACAGGAACTCGTACGCCCTGCTTTCTGGAACCAGGCCTTCCCTCTCGTCGATGCACTCTCCTATCCTTTTTGATAGTTTGTCGTACAACTCCCTGCTCGCAGCATTCAGTCTGCTGATCCGCAGGGAGTCGCCGAGTTCCACTCTCCGCCCCTGCACCTCCGATCTATACACCTTTGGTATCGGGGCCGTGGCCTCCTCTCTCCTGAAAGGTCCAAGTTATCATTATATACTATGGATCTACCCTCCTCCACCTCCATGTCCTCTGTGGAGCTGACCTGCTCCAGGACGGAGGACTTCACCACCTTCCTCTTCTTCAGCCGCTTCACCTTCTTCCGGTACGACAGTCCTCCTCTCTCCCGATCCGTCTCCGAGGGGTCGCTGCCGGATACCACATCGGCATATTTTCTTCTCCCGGCTGTTATTGGGGGAGCGGGAGCAGGAGTAGTACCGTTGGCAGTCAACCTGGCCGCACCGAGCTCCTCCTCGAGTTCACGGTTCCGCACCCTCACCCCCCTTAGCTCCTCTCTCAGTGCCGACATTTCCTTCCACGCTTCTGCGGCAGCGTCCTCTTCCCCATCGTATGCCGCAACCCTCGCGATAAGGGTCGACAGGACGGCCTCGAAGGTGACCACAGCACGGTTCAGCAGTGCCTGATAAGTCCTCTTCAGGGTTCTGGACCTATGAGACAAAAGCCGAACCGCGCCAAGAGCACGGCCCACCTCCGAGGCCAGTTCTGCCGACCCGGCCTCCTTTAGTAATGCCCTCGTGGCAGGGTCTTTGAAGACCTCCTCAGCGGGGCGCGTGTCCTTCAGAGTGCGGCACATCCCCCCGCTGAGGAGGTCCTCCACCTCCTTCTGCAGATCCCTACGGGCCACCACCTTCTTCCTGATGAACCCCATCTCCCTCTTATGCCGGAGACCAACTCCGACACCCGTGGTGGCCTTTCTCCCCCTGGTATCCTTCTCCTGAACAATCCCCCGCGCGAGCTCCTCTACCTGCTTCTCTACGCCTGTTGTGCTGGCTGCGGTCACGTCCCCGACGGTCATCTGGTTGGTGGTCGCCAGGCTGTTCGCCTTGCTCTCTGCAGCCGTTGCACCTACTGGGCAGAATTCTCCTGTCTTGGGGTCTCTAGGTCTCACTCTAGATCTCTGGGACAGGATTACATCCGAAATGACCACTGGTTTCCCAGTGGTCCTTCCTCCCGCCCTCACATCCGCGTGACCCCCCATCGCTCGCGGGGCCCCCATCTTACTGCAAAGGGAGTCAGGTCGATTCACGCCCAGCGTCGTAGCAAGAGTTCTGGCGACCGATCCCCGGGCCGCTGTTCCTCCCATGTTGGGTGGCCGCTTTGCTTCCCCCGAAGAACTCACCACACCACCCTCACGGTTGAGGGGGTGCTTCCCATCCAAAGACGGGGGACTACTTCCCACGTCGCGTGGCCGCCCCTCATCTCTTGCGCGGGGGCTCACGTGGCGAGCCTCTCGGTGGAGGCCGCCCTTCTGACTGATGGTAGCCAGGGTTGTTCCCGCGTTGGACGGCCGCCTTTTCTTCAGATCACGAAGGTTCGCCCTGCCAACTCCCTGAGAGCGGCCTTCCTGGTCGCAAGCGGCCGAGGTCAGAGACCGATTATGGTCTCCTCTGTCGGAGGTAGGAGAATGAGAGGAGGACACTCCTCCACTACTCCTACTTCTGTAGGAGGGGTTTCCCCCCTCTAACGGCCTGTAGTCGGTTGCCGACGTGACAGGGATCGGGACCATGTCCCCGCCAGGACGCTCCGCAGTAGCAAATTCTACCTTGGGGCCCGCGGTACACCCCAAGGTTAGCCCATCGCTGGTTGACGACGTGGGGGAAACTGGGACGACATTCCCACCAGCATGCCGGTTCCTGGTTCCGAGACCCAGGACGTCCTTTGCCATTGTAGTCATAGTATAATCCATCCGAGTGTCGGATTGTTACGAGCCCGACCCACTCGGGTTTGAATTCGGGGTTTTTCTTAGCCTAGACCGGCTGCTTACACAAGGCTAACGAGCCCGCTCTGCCCACACTGTAGGAACCTTTGGGCCGTAGGAGTGCAACCCTCCAGTTCCTGGGTAAAACCTGGAGGCAGCTGCCCCTCCAAGAGTATGGACGCTCTTAGTCTGGTCCCTCCATATAGACCACCTCGGCATGGTAGAACCTGCCAGGGGCCGAAACCCCCGCCGGTACAGCTCTGTACGTCATTGGGACACGCAAGCTCCCACACTACGGCAAGATGGCGTTCACGGGGGAGAGTTTATGTCACCAAGCCTCAAGATTTAGATGATTTAAGAGGGAGAATAACTCGAGAGATAGAACTAATACCGCCAGAAGTGCTATAAACATTTCTCTCCCGGACGTGTCGAAGAATATTTCACCATGGATGTGCCGACTTTTGTGGATCTACAAGGGTACATGATTGGAAAGAGTTTTATTGTAAAAGAAGCGGCGATACTGAAGAATAGAACTATTCTTTCACACTACATCTTCACGAGTCCGATGCCATGGCATCTGCTCACAAAATCAGACAAATCGAAAGCCTATTGGTTAACGACTAATCATCATGGATTACGATGGGAAGATGGAACCGTCAAATACTGCAGAGCTGAACATTTTATTACTACAGCTGTGGTGGGTGATATGTATGGCGAGCTTGAAGATGTCACATCTCAACTTGTGTATGTAAAGGGGCATGAGAAGCGGGAATGGTTGTTATACCTTCTGGATGACAATGTGAGAAGCAACGTGATCATTAGGACCGTGGACACCGATTACGATGACATGCCTTCTCTGCAAAAATTGAATAATACTTTTCGATGTAATAATCATATGAAAAATTGTGCCTTACAGAACGTACTAAACATTTTCAATTGGTGGTCTTGGAGAGAATTGTACGACGCTTAATAAAACATTATTTCAAATGTACAGATGTTTCTTCCAACACGCTTATCCCTTTTCACCTCTTAGGATTTTATATGATAATTGTTTGGTAAAAATACAGTTCTTTATTTGCGGTATGGTGATTATTAGACATTCGATAGACGTTCGATAGACGTCCGATAGACGTTCGAGAGACGTTCGAGAGACGTCCGATAGACGTTCGAGAGACGTCCGATAGATGTTCGAGAGACGTCCGATAGACGTTCGATAGTAATCGCGGGGTCCAGGTTCGATAGTAATCGCGGGGCCCAGGTTCGACCTTATCTATACCGCCGCCATGTTTTTCTTTTGACGTATGTGTGACGTCACGGTCGCCATCTTACCCGTAAACGTGACGTCTACTAGCAATAGGCGACGGTGGTCTAGGAGGTTGGAGCGTTCGATAGTAGCCGCAGGACCCAGGTTTCGAGTCTAGCAACACCCGGCCTGTTTTTCTCTGAACATGTGCGTGACGTCACAGCCACCATCTTACTCGTAAACGTAATGTTTACTAGCAATAGGCGACCGTGGTCTAGAAGGTTTGAGCATTCGGATAGCAACCGCGGGGCCCAGGTTTGAGCCTACCTACATCCCGGCATGTTTTTCTCCAGACATGTGCGTGATGTCACAGCCGCCATCTCTTACCCGTAAACGTGACGTCTACTAGCAATAGGAAGCAGTGGTCTACGAGGTTCGAGCGTTCGTTGGCAACCGCGGGGCCTAGGTTCGAGTCTAGCAACACCAGGCCCGTTTTTCTCCGGACATGTGCGTGACGTCACGGCCGCCCGCCATTTTGTCCATAGAATCAAACAATTCTGGGAAGGAAGGAGGGTATTAACAAAGAGGGGGTATCAATAGGGGATATAAATAAATAGCGGGGGCATTAATTATAATATTTCATTAAAAAGTCAGGTTCGAAAAGATTTCATTAAAAAGGTCAGGTTTAAAAAGATTTCATTAAAAAAGTCAGGTTCAAAAAGATTTCATTAAAAAGATCAGATTCAAAAAGATTTCATTAAAAAGGGCAGGTTCAAAAAGATTTCATTAAAAAAGGTCCGGTTTTTGAAAATTCATTTTAAAAAGTGGGTTAGAATCCTCCTTGTTTAAGTACTCAGCGATGTTATAAAATGCCAAACAATTAGTGTAAATAGATTGTACAATTTCATTCTGACCTTCTTGATTCAATCGATCAAGAAAGTCTTGCCAAGCTTCTCCAACTATTACTCTATCAGGAAATGAACGATTACCGTGATATAATGGATTAATTGTACCGCATCCAACATAATTCAATAACGGGGCTTTTACAACATTACGAAGAAAACTTTTCAAAAGATTTTCTGCGGCCAACTGAAGCGAATGAACTCTAGTTTCTTCAGCTTGAAAATACGCGTTATACTTATTAAAAGCCTCAAGAATGTATTCCAAAAATAACAGATATGCTTGCACTTCTGGATTCTTCATTAGTGACAGTAAAGCAGCCCCCTACTTTGACTTCTCGCTCAATTGCTCTTCTTGTAAAGATTTGAGCAGTACGTCCCAGTTATTGTTGACTCTAGTCACACATACAATCTGTAAAGTAAGAGCGTGCACGGGTTATTGTGTAGAAAAAATTATTTTTAATGAATTTTAAGTACATAGATTTGTTGTACTCCATGAGAAGAAAAATATACCATTAATAATGAGTCCAGTCAACATCGACATTGATAATTGCCTGGCATCTCCGAGACATACTTTCTACTAAGTTGACTGCGTATTCGTTCGGTAAAGACCTTCAAATGAGACGAATTTGTCATGTCAACTGCTTCAAAGTGCACACTCTTTTTCCTCGAAGCTTGTGTTTGAGATATGCCCACACATTTTCAATGGGATTTGCATCTAGCGACTGCGATGGCCAATCAAGTGTGACGATATCAGACTGCTCTTTCCACTCGGTGCAGAACTTGCTCCGGTGTTTTGGGTCGTTGTCTTCCTGTAAGATCCAGTCCTTGTTTTTTTTTTTATGAAGCATTGTTCAGCAGTCGGCAACAAACACTTCTCATAAATTTTAAGCATTAAGGTCGGGTTCCGCTTAAACAAATTCACAATTTTTTTTCCATATTCGGCGTCACTTTGCCTATCGAGCCACGTTCTAGCAAGTCATCGACATTTTTTATCTTCTTATATTGCTGAACCCACTTAGCGACGAACGATTTTGACTTTCCCATGTATTTAGCAGCCACTGCATATGACATTTTTGGTCCTTTGAGGTGGGAACAAAGGAATACAGCCTCGTAGCGCGATGCGTATGCGGGACTCATGGCGATTAACGTGTTTCTCAGGTTAGAGTTCGACGCCAACTGAATCTTTTGTGACAAAGCATTCGCGACAAAGATTTCATCTATCGGCTTACAAAAAAACTAGGACGATATTTGAAACCAACTGCCATTTATGCCGTACACGCTCTTACTTTACAGACTGTACATGGCGAGAAAGCCATCGCGTCTCGGAAAATTTTAAAATTCTATTATTATTATCATTGAAACTAAAAGATTTCTGGAATTGTTGGAAAATACACGCGCGCTTGGGACTACTGGAGATGAACGATGCCACTTTTCGCAGGAATTCCTCGCTTGCTTCAGGAATTGCTGTGCAAACTGCATTTGCTACTAATGCAAATGCGTGGTAGGATGCATGGCATCTTTATCAAATTAGGACAATATTTCTCTAATTTTGTTTTGAATGATTCATATTATCCTATCATAACGGAGGCGTTGTCACAGGAAAGAGCGAGAATATTTTGAAACGGAATTTGTTCCTTCCACATTTCAGCTCTAAAAATTGTAAATAATTTGTCGGCACTGCAATCACTCGCATCTAAATGAATCAATTCTAATAATTCCGTTCGAACGTTCAAAGTCTGAGGGTCGACATACCGAACAAGAAATGTCAGCCATTTGTCATTAGTTATGCCTCTTAATGTCTCGTCCGGATAGAGAACTATGTAGTCGTGCCCCTGCACGCGCCTTGGCAACAGAATTCAAAAAACCCGCCACTCAGAAGCAAGCGTCACTCCGTGCCGTGGCGCCTGTGGCCGTGGCGCCCATGTTTCCGTGCGCTGTGCGCGCCCTCATTCTTCATTGTGTTCTGTTCGTTAGCCTTGGTAACACGTGCGTTGATTAGCTTTATCAGTTTCTTTCAGTTAATTTGTGCCAATTCTCTTTTTCAGCCATGCCTAGGCATAGAAAATCTAAAAAAGTCCTCCTCGAGACACTCGAGAGAGGAAAGGCGCGCGCATACGCACAGTTCGAAGATTTTTCGGGGGACAGGCGATCGCGGGATCATTCACGCAGTACATAGTGGAATGCACGTCCATCTTGTATTTCTCAGACGTCAGAGGATCAATGTTCTCGAAGTTCCCTCATGGAAATTCTCGATCGAATGCGTGAGATTATCACCTCCAGAGAAGTCAAGTATAACCTCCATTCTAAGGAGTGCTTAAGAGGTCATCCTCAGAACCGTTCTCAGGAGCCCCTCAAGTATTCCTCAGGGAAGTTCTGGTACTATTTCCTTCCTCACGCCACAGGTTCTAAATCAGATTGTAGAAGAGCAGTTGGTCGCATAAGCGACCGGGGCGTTGTCCCACCAGGTATGTCCTCTTGTCGACCCAGTAATATTTGATAAATTCTGGCAAAGAGAGCACATAACCGATTATCTCTTCTAGACCAGATTGTAGAAGAACAGCCGTTCGCATAAGCGACCGCGGCATGGTCCCACCAGGTAGTCCTCTTGTCGACCCAGTAATATTTAATAAATCCTGGCAAAGAGAGGACATAACCGATTGTCTCTTCTATCTGGCCACGCCGGTTTTTCGCAAGTCGATAAGGTCGAGCCTCTGGCTCCCGGCACTGTGGTTTTTGCTGACACTCTTGTCAAAGAGATCACTCGGAGGACAGACGATCGCGGGACCGTTCACGCAGTAGATAGTGGAATGCACGTCCATCTT